TTTAGGGGTGTAGGGTTTAGGATGGCTCTGGTTTAGGATGGCTCTCTCCTTTTGAGGTTTGTTTGGGGCTTGTGGTTTTGGGAGTATGGCCATGGGCTGACAATGGAGTCTTGAACTGACACCGGCGTAGTCGCGCGTGAGCAAAGCGAGTTGTTTCAAGGGACCAAAGCAGAAGGGACCCTTACGTAAGGGCCCTTAGGGGTTGTTTAGGCGTCATTTCGGGGCTACGTACGTACCTTCCTTTAAAGGTCCGAAGTTTTGGCATTTGGTTTGTTTAGGGTATATGTAGGTTGTATAAGGGCTCCAACAGTCAGGGCCCACACGAAGGGCCCATGAAACACCCCCCAAGACAATACTGCGCGACATACAACGCGAACAAAAGCAACTGGCCACACCTCGCAGGGGGGATGGCGATCCAAATCATGGACCTTTCTTGAGCACCCTGAACCATAAGGAACCCTAAAACCCTGAAACCCTAAACCCTTGAACCCTAAGCCCCTCTAAAGCGTTGATACAAGCGACGGAAAAGGGCCCCCCAAACTTTGATCCACACCCACTTTGAGGCTGCCACCCAACTCGTCCACCGGAGTCTCCTGTTTAGGGCCTAAAGGCCTTTAGGGCTTAGGGCTTTTGGGTGTTTGGGTTACGGTTTAAGGTTTTCGGGTTTTAGGGTTTACAGGGAAGCCGTTACCAGCGAAGTTGAACGCGGCCCACCTTCAAGGGACTACTTGAGGGGGGGGGGGGTACTCATATATGCTGAGTTCTGTAACTAGGGTCCCTTTTTGAGTGCCCTAAATATTGCGGGCCGCCTGAGACTAGCAACTCCAAAAAGGGACCACCCTAATCAAACCCGAAACACTAAACCCTAAACCCCAAATCCTAAACCCTAAACCCTACACCCTACACCCTAAACCCTAAACCTAGACAAGTCCCTGAACCCCTGAGTTCCGGGCTTTTTTGGGGCGTTGGGGGTCGTTCTGTGCCCAACAACTATCCAAGGGGAGTTGCACGGCCCCTTCGTATGCACCTTGGGGCTTTTAACCCTAAACCCTAAAACCCCAGAAACCCAAACCCTAAGACCCCAAAATCCTATAAAGCCCAAAATGGGGTTCTAATGGGGGGCTACTATAACCCCTATTAAGGACAGTTAGTGGAAGGGGGAACATCCCAAGGTGTGACGAGGGCTTCCTGGGTCATGGCGGCATCCGAGGCCGCCGAGTGCCCGGAGGCCTGGGAGCGCCAAGAGCGCATTGTTGTGACTATGATGATTGTTACTGTTATGATTATTATCTACTTTCTTAATGTTATTCATTAGTATTGTTTCTTTCAGGAATGTGTAGTATTGTTCTGAAAATATTTCTGCTCTTCTTCTTTTGTTTATATATTTGTCGTTTGACATTCTGATTTTTTCCTTGGGGGCGGGTGGGGGGGGGGGGGGGAAGGTTAGGGTTTAGGGTTTTAGGGCAAAGAGGGCATGATAGGGCACTAGGCAATAGGGCATTGTACAGGCCAGTTGGGCATTAGGGTTTAGGGCTTTAAGGCATGAGGACGTACAGTAGGGCGTTGCCTCTTCTACTGTAGACCGAGGAAACCTTCGCCAACCCCAGAGGAGATACCCGTGCTCCACTCTAAACCCCAAACCCTAAACCCCAAAGCCCTAAACCCTAAACCCTAAACCCTAAATCGCAATGAATTTGAGTGGTTACCCCAGAACGCCTTCAACCAAAAGCTCCTTTGCAGACAGGCAGCGATCGGGCACGGGTCCGTGCACGTCGAGATCCGCTCCACGATGAAGTCCTGACCAACGTCGCTTGGGGTTTTGGGGTTTTGGGTTTTTGGGGTCTTGTAGTTGTGGGGTTTTGGAGTCTAGGGGTTCAGGGGTTCAGGGGTTTTGGGGTCTAGGGGTTTAGGGGTTTAGGGGTTTTGGGGTTTTTAGGGTTTAGGGTTTCGAATCTGGGGTTTAAGGTCTAGGGGTTTGGGGTTTCGGCTTTTAGGGGGTTAGGGTGACTTGGACGCTCTTGTCTTGGACTTCGAACTGCAAGTGTGAAACCCCTTACCAATTCGCTCCGACCCAAAGGAGGGCAATACATGGGAAAGCTGTTGACTTATCTTTAAAGATTTAGGTTCAGGAGCAAGGTCTTGTTTGAGTTTAGCTCATGCTCTTTATACCCGAAACACTAAACTCTAAACCCTAAACCTGTACGTGTTGGGCTCCCTCAGATATTTCATGGAGCCGGAGCTCGAGGCAGTAAGTGAGGTCGAGCCCGCCTTCGAGGTAAGTTTTTGGGGGATGCCTTCTCATGCTCTTTCTCAGTCTTTAGGGTTCATAGGGTTTATGGGGTTTGTGGGGTTTATGGGGTTTAGGGTTTAGGGTTTGGGGTTGAGGGTTTGGGGCTTAGGGTTTCCTTAAACCCTTACTGTGGATTAAGCTTCAGTTTGCGGTGCTCAAAACTGCCGCAGAGCGAGGGATCGATTCTTCAAATCATGTCGTGGCCTTGTGAGAAGTGGGAGGTGAAGCCACAAGCCTTTAGTTTAGGGTTTAGGGTTTCCAAGCCCTAAACTTCTTCAGAAATCACAAGCCCTAAGCCTCAATTTTCACCCTAAACCCTAAACCCTAAACCCTAAACCCTAAACCCTAAACCCTAAACCCTAAACCCTAAACCCTAAACCCTCATCCTGGGCCCTTTCATGGCTTCCGAAAGCTTCTTTTCTCTCACCTGGGGCGCCGGCGCCGTGGCCTGTAAGGTGAGCCAAGTGACGGCACCTCTCGAAGGGTCAGAGTTTAAGGTTTAGGGTTTGTAGGGTTTGTAGGGTTTGTAAGGTTTGTAGGGTTTGTAGGGTGTTTAGGGTTTAGGGTTTAGTAGGGTAGGTACAGTTAGGGTGTTGATGGTTCTTCGGGTTCAGGGCCTTGTAGCTTTCTTGGAGACCCCCACCTGAAACCTTAAGAGTCCATGCGCATATGTGGCATAAACTTGGGTCCTGTATAGGAGCCTGTGTAAGGCCCAAGTAATGCTATATGGCTAACATGGACCCTTTTGGGGACCCTCAGGGTTCAACAGCCCACTGTGGGGAGGGGCGTACTTCTGAACCCCACGCATGAGGGGATAGAATATTGTTCTTCGTGCGATTCGGACTGTCCCAAGCTTTAATAAGCAGCATCCGGTGTTGGGAGTCCCTGTTGCGAAGTAAGGTTTGTGAGCCTCCCAAAACATTGCTACCTGAAACCATCCGGCGTTGCGAAAGACTCCCTAGACCTCCAGTAAATGCACCCCCTGGCGGAGATCAACTCCAGCCGACGCTCAATCGCCATCTGAACATCACACCGTGCATACCCTCTAAACCCAAAACTGTAAACCCCTACGGCCGAACGAGACACTGAACCTGCTCCTTGAACCCAGAAGTCCTAAACCCACCACCCCTGGACGGCTGAAGTCATGAAGAACAAGAGGAGCCATCGCAAGCTCGGGGTATCCACCTTCTACCCGAAACCCATGCTTTTGACGAAAAGCCCGTCAACTGTGCCAGTATGGCCTGTCCGCGAACCGTGCTTCACTCAAGCTCTGTACAAAGCGGTCCTATCGTGGCTTTTGGCCGATTTTCTGTTTTCTGTTTCTTAGTACGCATCTGATGGTCTAGATGCAAGGCTCAACTTACAAAACCATGCACTGCTCGTGCATGGAACTGGTGTCAGACGGTGTCAGGGCTGCAAGATCCACGTAGCCCCAAAACCCCACACCCCAAATCCTTCTGAAGACCCTCGACCCCAAGTAGGTCTAAACCCTAAACCCTAAACCCCAAACCCTAAACCCTAAATCCCAAACCCCAAATCCTTTTGAAGACCCTCGACCCCCAAGTAGGTTTAGTTCGTATGCCTTGGAGCCCTAGGGAACTTCAGCTCGGCAATCGCCAGTCAACAAGGATCACGCGGTGATCACGCAGGCTTTTAGGTGCTCCGGGTAGAGACATGAACCCATGACAGCATGAGGGTATAGGGGCCTATGGTTGCACAGCTTGCATTCTGAAACTGCTAGAAAGATGTAGGAATTGCACAAGGGGATGGAATACTGTTCTTCATGCGATCAAGACTGTCCCAAGCTTTGGCAAGCAGCGTCCGGCGTTGGAGTCCCTGTTGCGAAGTAAGGTTCATGAGACTCCGAAAACCCTAAACCCTAAACCCTAAACCCTAAACCCTAAACCCTAAACCCTGTTGCTCTAAATCATCCAGCATTGCGAGAGCCCGGCAGACCTCCAACAATGCACCCCCTGGCGGAGATCAACTCCAGCCGACACTCGGTCACCATCAGAACACCACACCCTGCACACCCCATCAACCCATAACCCTAAACCCCTACAGCCGAATGAGGCCCTAAACCCTGCACCTTGAACCCTATAAACCCTAAACCCAACACCGGTGGACGGCTGCCATCATAAAGAACAAGAGGCGTCATCGTAAGTGCGGGGTATGCACCTTCTACCCGAAGCCCACGCCTTTAAGCCCACGCTTGTCAACAGCTAGATGGAAAAGCCCATCATCTGTACCATGATGGCCTGTCCGCGAAACCGTGCCTTGTTCAAGCGCCGGTACAAAGAAACCCGAAACCCTAAACCCTAAACCCTAAACCCTAAACCCTAAACCCTAAACCCTAAACCCTAAACCCTAAACCCTAAACCCTAAACGTCCCGTCGTGGGCCGATGATTTTGTTTGGCTCCTTGAGCTGTTTTCTTACGTCTGCATCTGTTCGTCTAAATGCAAGGCGCAACTTGCAAAGCCATGCACTGCTCGTGCAGGGAACTGGTGTGAGATGGTGTCAGGGCTGCAGATCTGACTCAGAACGCAGAATGAAGTCCCCTAAGGCTCCAGATAGACCCAAAACCCTAAACCCCAAATCCGTTTGAAGAGTAGGTCGAAACCCTAAACCCCAAACCCTTTGAAGACCTTACAGCCCCAAGAAGGTTTAGTTCGTATACCTTGGAGCCCTAGGGATCTTCAGCTTGGCAGTCACCAGTCAACCAGGATCACGCGGTTGTTGATGTAGGCGCCTTTCTCACATGTTTACTTGACAAAACTCCTTTCACAAGGAGCTGTAGACGAAATTCGCTGATGAACTAAACCCTAAACCCTAAACCCCAAACCCCAAACCCCAAACCCCAAACCCCAAACACCAAACCCCAAACCCTAATCCTAAGCCCTATGAACCCCTAAGCCCTGGTTTCACTCCTCGCCTAGCTCGAACGGCTTTCCGATGTTCTTGTTGACCAGGAACTTCACCTTAGTCGCCCAGTAACCATATTCTCATAAGGGCACCCTTTTTTTGGGTTGGTTACAACCCTAAACCCTAAACGATAAACCCTGAACCCTAAACCCTAAACCCTGAACCCTAAACCCTAAACCCTAAACCCTAAAACCCTCAACCCTAAACCCTAAACGGTACCACTTGGCTACCAAGTCACCGCGTCGGCCCCGACGATTCCTGGGATCGACCCGTTGGAGACGAACCTGGGTAGCTCAGCTTAGGGTTTAGGGTTTAGGGTTTAGGCTTTAGGGTTTAGGGTGTAGGGTTTAGGGTTTAGGGTTTAGGGCTTAGGGTTTAGGGTTTTGGGTTAGGGTTTAGGGTTCAGGGATTCGGGTTTTGGGTTAGGGTTCAGGGTTCAGGGTTTAGGGTTTAGGGTTTAGGGTTTCCCTGGTAGCTCAGGAACCATGTTACCAAAAAGGGAGCTTTTTTTGTTATTTATACTATGTGCGTAGCCAATAATATAGTGTGTCGATATATATATATATATATATATATACATATTATATTATATATATATAGGTACTCTATACATCCAGCCAACCACCTTGTGATAAGGAGCACCTTCTTGGTGTTTACTATTTACATTTTTGTAGCCCAGTACCCATGTCATAATGGGGGTGCCTCCTTGTTGTCTGTATAATATATTCGTAGTCTGCATGGTGCCATCTTAAAATAGGGGGTACCTTTTGGGTGTGTGTGTATACTATACACATAATCTTGAATGCAGGTAGCCCAGAAACTATATTATGATGAGGGTACCCTTTTGGTTGCTGGTTGCTTTGTAAGGGAACCTAGAACCCCAAAAAGGGAAGGCGCCACTGGGCTACCAAGGCACCAATACCAGTTCTCGTCGTTGTTGACGAAGCCATTGAGCACGATCCAGTGCAGCTTCCCAGTATCGCCGTCACTCCACCTGAGTGATGGAAATCACCCTAAACCCTAAACCCTAAACCCTAAACCCCAAACCCCAAACCCTAAACCCCAAACCCTAAACCCAAAACCCTGACCCTGCTACTGCCCTGCGCGAAGGTTCTTAAGCTCCTGGCAAACAGATTATATAGACAGATGAGAACGCACATTCAGCCGTGTCACCTGTAGCGGTGGCACAAGCAAACCATCACAGGCTTTCCTTCGCGGAGGTGCGGATCAACCTGGTCGAAGCGCAAGCCCTCGCGGATCTTGTATCCTAGGTCGGTCTGATCGAGCGCGTGCCGCAGCTCGTGGTCACCGGTGCCGTTCCTGCACTATGTTAGAGTACCATTTAAAAATTATAGTGTCTTGTTCCTTCTTGGGTCTACATATTCAGAGAAAAAAAGGTAACATGATTTTGAACAGCGACCCAGGTTCAAAGCCCACCTCCAGTCGATGTCCCCGGGCTCGCGAATCTTCTTCAGGTGAACGGCGGCTTGCAGCACCCAGTCAAAGGCCTGGGGTTTAGGGTTCAGGGTTTAGGGTTTAGGCCCACAAGGTTTTTGTCCCCTGGCTTACTGTTGGTTAGTAGGGAACGAGGGGATGAGGTACCCTATATAATCCCAAAAAACCCTTTAGGGGATGAGGGAATGAGGTACCCTATAATCCCTTAAGGGGTATATATAGGGAGATATATCTCACCAACAGGAAGGTCAAAGGCCTCCAGCCCACAGGGTCCCCCGCTGGGTGGTGACATACCGCCAAGTGCATCTCGATCCCAGACCATGTCGCCGGCAATCGCTTGCTTCTCATACCATCGCATCCACCCAGGATCGTCCTGGACATTGTGCAACACCAGAGCCTTAGTTGCTGAGTTCATATAAGCCCCCAAACAAAGTGTACACTTTCGGTTCTGTAGTGGATTATAGTATCCCGAAAAGGTGTAAGGTGTACTGATTCAGCTACGAAGGAGCTGAAGAGTCGACTTTCTTGGTCCGGTACTGTGTGTTCCCCATGGCTTCAGGTCCGGATGGCGTCTGGATTGCGCTGCCTCCTACACGATTCTTCCGATCCTGCGGCCTGCGGCATGCCAAGCAGAGCGCCTTTTTTAGGGTTTGGGGTTTAGGATTTAGGGTTTAGGGTTTAAGGTTTAGGGTTTAGCTTCCAAAAACTCCTGGAATCAGGAAATCTGGTCACCGGTTGCGGGTTTAGGGTTTAGGGTCTACAGGGTCTAGGGCTTTAGGGTTTAAGGGTCTACAGGTTTTAGCCCAACCCCCCCCCCCCCCCCCCCCCCCCCCCCCTGCACTCAGCGATTTGGCTTCAACATTTAGAGGGCCTACTTGGGGGCTCTTGGGTCGTTAGAAGTAGGGCTATAAGTGCCTGAAGTAAGGGTATAAGTACCATAAATATGGTCATAAGTACCTTAAGTAAGGTTATAAGCATCGTTGCCCTAATTATAACCCCACTTGTAACTACCCATGAACCTCCACGTACGGTTAGGATTCAAGGCCCCGGTTTATAGGGTTCGAGGCCTGGGTTTTAGGGGATTTGGGGATTAGGGTTTAGGGGATTAGGGTTTAGGGTTTAGGGCTTCAGTAAACCGAGAATAGCTTCTTACTGTTAATGGGATCCAACAGGGTTGGGTGGGTAGATATTCGATACCAGAGTCGCGAGCTTCGCAAGTGAAAGCTTGGACTTGAGATCCTGAACCCTAAGCCCTAACCCTAAACCCTAAACCTAAACCCTAAACCCTAAACCCTAAACCCTAAACCCTAAACCCTCTCTTACTATGTATATTTAAACCCTAATGACCTTCGTCGGCATATTGTTTTTTTTCTGGGCCCTAAACCCTGACCCCCTTCGTCGGCATATTGTTTTTTTCCCCCCTGGTGGGCCCTAAACCCTGACCCCCTTCGTCGGCATATTGTTTTTTTTCCCCCCTGGTGGCCCTAAACCCTGACCCCCTTCGTCGGCATATTGTTTTTTTCTCCCCTGGGTGGGCCCTAAACCCTGACCCCCTTCGTCGGCATATTGTTTTTTTCCCGCCTGGTGGGCCCTAAACCCTGACCCCCTTCGTCGGCATATTGTTTTTTTCCCCCCTGGTGGGCCCTAAACCCTGACGCCCTTCGTCGGCATATTGTTTGTTTTCTTTGTGGTGGGCCCTAAACCCTGACGCCCTTCGTCGGCATATTGTTTTTTTCCCCCTGGTGAGCCCTAAACCCTGACGCCCTTCGTCGGCATATTGTTTTTTTGTCCCCTGGTGGGCCCTAAACCCTGACGCCCTTCGTCGGCACATTGTTTTTCTTTCCCCCTGATGGGCCCTAAACCCTGACGCCCTTCGTCGGCATATTGTTTTTTTCCCCCCTGGTGGGCCCTAAACCCTGACGCCCTTCGTCGGCATATTTTTTCCCCCCCACCACCCCCACCCCCCCCCACCCCACCCCCCCTTCCGGCGTATGGTTAGATTTCCGGTTTTGGGCCAACTGGACCCCCCCACCCCCTTCCCGCCCCCCAACCCTCCCTATTCCCATCCATCATGTGAGGAAGTTTGAGAGTTAGATTTCGGGTTTTGGGCCAACTGGACCTTGAGCTTTAAGCCTACTGGGAATGTATTGAGTGAACTTTGTATTTTCTCAATGTTATGGGTTTCTTGGGTGGGTGGGTTTTTATTCCAACGCTTGACAAGCTGCTTGACTAGTGAATGCTCGGACTTGAGATGCTGAACCCTAAACCCTAAACCCTAGACAACCCTAACCCGAAACCCTAAACCCGAAACCCTAAACCCTAAACCCTAAACCCTGAACCCTAAACCCTAAACCCTCAACCCTAAACCCTAATCCTAAGCCCCCTAAACCCTAAACCCTAAACCCTAAACCCTAAACCCTAAACCCTAAACCCTAAACCCGGAGCATGACGGCCTCAACCCCGGTCCCCGCACGTAGCCACGCAGGCTCAGGGAGCCCTCAGAGGGAGAGTACCTGGTGGTGGCAGGGCTTAGGGTTTAGGGTTTAGGGTTTAGGGTTTAGGGTTCAGGGTTTAGGGTTTAGGGTTTAGGGTTTAGGGTTTAGGGTTTAGGGTTTAGGGTTTAGGGTTTAGGGTTTAGGCTTTAGGGTTTAGGGTTTAGGCTTTAGGGTTTCGGGTTTCGGAAGGTCGAGTCGCAGGAAAAGCAAACCCCAAACTCCCAAAGCCCAAAAACCTAAACGGCCTACTTAGTGAGAGCCTTGCCCTAAGGGCTCATGTACCTATGTAGCAATATATTTGGCCCCAAGTCTAGATGAGTACATGGACCCTTTGGGTTAACCGTAAAACGCCCAAAAACCCTAAAACCAACCATTCGACTTGTCACAGCCCGGAAGCCCGATAACTCCTAAAGCTCAACAAAAGCCTACACAAACCCTTGATGCCCGATTTCTAGCGGTAGTGATAAGCCCCACAGCCTTAAACACGAAAAAACCCACAAGCCCTAAAATCCCAACTATTCGGCCCCCTCCTCCCCGGCCCCCGATCCCTCCCATGGCAGGTCTCTCAAGCTCCCGCGGCGCACTCAACCTCCTGCGCTAGCATGTACCCGCGCCCGGCACGCCAGGTCAACTCCTGCAGACGAGGGCTTACATGCAGCAAGCCTAAAAACACAACCCCTAAACCCGAAACCCTACTAAGCCCTACTTAGGGTTCAGACTTGCAGGGTTCAGCCCCTCAGTATGTGATGCAAGGGCCTCACCCTAAACCCTAAACCCTCAAGGGCCCTAAAGCCTGAACCCGAGATGCGGTCATGGCGCCTTCGGCGTGGCGGCGGCCACGGCGCGGACCATGGCTTTGGCCTTCGTAGGGTTTAGGGGTTAGGGTTTAGGGTTTAGGGTTTAGGGTTAAGGTTTAGGGTTTAAGGGCTTAAGGGCTTAAGGGTTTGGGGTTTGGGGTCCCCACCTACACCCTAAACCCTAAAACCCATGGACCTTCAAACCTTCGGTCGTTGATCCTCTAGCACAAGGCCCCAAACCCTCAAGCTAATTTTAGTTGTTTAAGGTGGCTTCTGGGTACCCTGAACCCTAGACCCTACGCCCTACACCCTGAACCCTAAACCCTAAACCTCAAGAGGCAACGATTTTGCGGCCTCCTCATCTGTGGTGGCTGGGTAGAGCTTGGTTTCGGCCTTGGCAAGGGACTGTCTACTTGGAGGTTTATGGGTGGTTATATATATAGGACTATAAGCATAGGATAACTATAGTCATAACCCTAAGTAGGGTACTTATACCCCTACTTGCAAGTATCCATGAACCTCCAGACTTAGGGTTTGGGGGGGCTTGGGGTCTTTGGGGTTTAGGGCTACCGTGGGAGGTTGAGGGCTTAGGGTACACAGCAGCCATGACCCCCGACCCCCCCCGCATGTGGGTACCCCAGCCCCCACAGCGATGCAATCTTGAATGTAGCTAGTTGCTGAGTTCATAAGCCCCCCCAAAAAACACACTTTCAGTTCTATAGGGGACTATAGTATCCCAAAAAGTGTAAAGTGTGCTCACTCAGCTGGGTTTAGGACCTTAGGAGCTCTAGGGTACCCTGCATGCAGCAAGAGTAACCTAGGAACAAACAGGGGATGCCCTTTTTTGGCAAAAAGGGAACCTCTAGAAAAGGGAAGAAGGGCCTACCCTGGGTCCTAGTTACCCTAAACCCTAAACTGGAGCGAGCCGCGGGCGCTGCGATAAGCAGTTGCGAGCGATACCGCGTGGCGACAGGCCTGCGGACGAGCCCGAGCCTTCAGGCCAAGCCTGGCGAGGGCTGGGCGCGGTGAGCACGGACGCCTAGAAGCCGCGCACCCCAAGGGTTCCAGGAGGTCCCAGGGGCCCCAACTCCCGGACCCTTTTTGCGCTTTTTAGGGCTCTCGACCACAGTTCTGAGCCTTTTTGCGACCATTTCTGAGCCTTTTTGGGCGGAAAGTCCTGAACCTTCTTGGGCTCCTCCCGGACTATTTCTGAGCCGTTTGGCTCTTCTCACACTTTTGGGCTTCTGTAGGACCATTTCTGAGCTTTTTGGTTTTTTTTGGACCTCCGGACTATTCTCGGACCATGTCTGAGCCTTGCTGAGGCTTGTTGGGCTTTTTGGGCTTCTCCCAAGCCATTCCTTGGATCCTTTGCATATGCAGGAGGCCGGGCCCCAGGGCGAAAACTATACAGGACAAGCGATAGCCCAACAACTAACTATATGAAAACCCTAAACCCGCCAAGGTTGAGATGTGGGTGGGCGGGTTGGGAGAGAGCGTTGAACCTGGGCGCACACCACGACACGTCCCGCGTGGTGGTGTGCGCGGAACCTTAGCAAATCCTGAACCCTAATAAACCCCAAACTCTGGCTGACTCGGCCCCAGCTCGCCTGAGGGTTGGTCGGCCTGGCCGGCACTGTCGCCTGGGTATCCCTTACACCGTCTCGCTGAGCGCGGTTTAGGGTTTCGGGTTTAGGGTTTAGCCCCCACAAGACAAGTGAGAGGGGCGTCGGGCGGGTTTAGGGATTTTGGTGTTAGGGTTTGGGTGCTTTCGGGGTTTCTGGCGTTGTCCCGCGTTTTGTGCCCACTATAAACCGTACACCCGAAAACCTACACCCTAAACCCGAAAAATCCGGGAAGCTGCTGAACCCAAACCCTATAAGGCCTTCACCCTAAACCCTAAACCCCAACCCTAAACCCTACACCCTAAACCCTAACCCCAACACAAAACCCAAACCACGAAACCCTGAACCCAAACCCCAGACCCGAGGCTTGGTTTCAGACCCCCAGCTCCGTGTGGAAGTAGCGGGTCACGAACTTCCGCGCCTGGGAGCAGGGTTTGGGGGTTTAGGGTTCAGGGTTCAGGGTTTGGGGTCTAGCGTTTAGGGTTTACGGGTTTAGGGACTAGGGTTTAGGGGTTTAGGGTTTACGGCTTGGGGTTTAGAGTCGGGTTTAAGGTGTGCGGAGTGTGGTGTAGTGTAGTGTGGCGTGGCGTGGTGTAGTGTAAGGCTTTTCAACGCTTTTCGAAGGTGTAGGGCCCAG